TTATGCAAGACAGCCCGTGTAACAGCATATTGGTTATTGGTAATTTGCCTACCAAACACCTTTTTAGCAACCATTTGAAGGTAGGTTTTTTCTTCCTCTTCCATCATTGTATCCAAGTTTTCCAAGTACCAATGTACATCATCGCTTGATTTCCAAAACAATATATTAGCTTCAAAGCTCTTGGAATTGACAGTTGGTGAAACCTTGTTCTTAAAAACATGTTCAAACATGGCATGTCAGAAAGATCCAAATAAGGCCCCATGATATCTGCAAGATTTGGTACTGATCTACATATATTTAAAGTTTTAGATTATAAAATAATAATAGTTTAAGCTAATATCACATCAGTTTTAATACTGCTAAAACAATATGCTAATTATCACATAGTTTGAGTTGTTCTAAATAGTTATATATAAATATTCTGATGGTCATTTCTCTGACAGGACATCTAACCAACATCATAAAGCATGAAAACTCACTGATAAAATATAACTGCAACTAATAAAACATTAAATTATTACACTATGTGATGTAGGTTAGATGGCCTGTCAGGAAAATGACCATCAGGAAGTTGAATAATATTAGTTCTAAATAGCTTGTTGCAATTATACTTATTATATTTTCAATTTTATTAAACAGAGCCTCCTATTTAATGCCTTTTCTGTATCATTCTATTTTATCTGAGCAGAGGATTTTAAGTTCTTTTCGAATGGCTTCTTCATAAACCTTATCATTAGGATAAAGCCAATTGTCTACAGCCACCTGAATACCCTGCATTACCCCTTTCTAAATTTTAAGTAAAATAGTATAATTGTTTGAAATATAATAAAGCTGATAATATAGGATAGATTTTCTATTTGTATAACAATAATAATAATAATAATAAAAGAGTTCAGGCTTAGATTAGTTTACTAATATTTTAAAATAAATATTATATCAAAGTACCTCAAATTTCATACTGATCTTAATTTTTCATTTGCTAATAGATAGCAAGAATAGAAAATCGATCCTATACATAGTATTATAATAAAAACACAATAATATATCTGCCACCATTCGCAATCATTTTCCTTAATTTTTAACTTTTGATACGAAGATTGTAATGTCTTAATATCATTGATTAGTTGAGTA